TTTTATTACTACTGTTATCATTTTATTAGTGTTATCATTATCATTATTAGTCTCTTCTTTTCTGTTCTATTAAATCGTTCTTATCTCAACCCAGGAGTTTTACTTCTTTTCCTGATTTTCTCCCCCATCCCACTGGATGGGGGGGGAGTGAGTGAGCGGCTGCGGGGTGCTTAGTTGCTGGCTGGGGTTAAACCACGACAGCCAAGAACAAGCTGCTTCTGCGGTGAGTGACGAAGCGCGTTCTCCGATGGGATGAATAAATCACAGGTGCTGCAGCTCTTGCCCAGTTCTCAGGTTTTCACAGCAAGTAGAGCTGAAGAGGGTGCTCCTGAGAAACACCCGGGAGCTGTGGAAGCCGCTGGAGATGTCGGGTCAATGACACCGCCTGGTGAGGCAGCACAGGGCACCCAGGCCCGAGTCGAAGCTCCGAGACGACTGAAGCAGCAAGGTAAAGCCTTAGGGACTTTGTGACTGAATTTGGAGAGAAGAGGCATGAAAATAAAAAGCCAATGACAGGTACGTGGGCTTGAGAGATCGTGAGAGCATATGGATGAGAAAGGCCCGTGGAGGTCTGGGGGGGTTGGACGAATATTAACACGTGTCTCAGGAGTGGAAAGTGTAGCGCTACTGCCCCGAAAGCGTTTGTAATGTGTGCATAAACCATACATCTGCTGTGTTAGACTGAGGCTGCAGGAAAGATGCTGGGGCCACCACATCTGCTGCAGCGCAAGGCTCTGAAGGCATATTTAACCAGGACTTTCAGGGAGACAAGTACAGCTTGTGCGAGAGAGAAGGGTGCACATAAATCTAAGATAATCCCAAAGAAGAGGTGGGGCTAGTGTCTTTTGAGAACTGGCCACTAGTTAGTGGGAATACCCTTAGGGTGAAAAGGCTGAAGTGGAAATCAGTCACGCACCTTATAAGATGGAAGAAAAGGGCCAGAGGTTCTGGAGAAAGAGAAAAGAAATGGATATTTGGGATTTCCATAAAATTTAGGCCTGGGCAGGACTAGGCAGCAGAAGCTCTTAGTATCAGAACCTGAGCTCTGGTGGCCCCGATTTCCCACAAAAATCCCATTTTGGCAACTCACCTTCCTTTTTTTAAACCTTGTCTCTCACAGATACCAGTTCTGAATGGGCTTGAGGGTGGCCCTTTAACCCAGCTGAAGAAAAATTACCATGCCAAAAGCCTGTGTTGCTAACCAAAGACTTGAGTCTCGGTTCCTGTGGCCTCCATTTTCAAAGACTCAGTCTAACACATCCTAAATTAACTCACCAGGCAACAGAGTATGAAATCGGACATGACCGATCGATCCTTGGGCATTGATTCAAAGCGAAACTAATGGAATGTAAAGAAAATGAATGTAAAGAATCTATCATACTCTAAAGGCTGCCTATTTAGCCATTTTACAAAATAAAATTTCATTTCAGAGCTGGGTGAAGGCGTAATGTTTGAAGAACCGACTAAAACAAGGCATAGGGACATTACAAACTATTGCCATACAGATTGAGCCTTGAGGGAATGGCTTTGTTAGATGCCACTGACTAAAATAATTGCACGATAATTTTGGCTAGAGGCACCAGCCTATCATCTGATGATTTTTAAACTGTGCATGGATAGCTTAGGCTGAGTGATCTTAACATCCAGCTATAAAGAACCGAGAAGTCCGGTCAGTGTACCACGTCTATGCTTTGGCTCTTGGAAAAAAACAAAAAAAGTCCTAGCACTGTCGAAGGAAGGTCTCTGAGCTATAGCAATCGGCAGCGCTGCATGCTCCTTCTGCAATGCTCTAAGATAGAGTAACCAAGGGCTTTCTCCTAAGGTAAGCGGCAGAAAAATAATCCTTCCTAGGGCAGTATGAAGCAATGCAAATTAAACCCAGGAGTATTTGCATCTTAGCATTTAACTTTTTCTGACAAGAAATTTAAGATTTAACTCTGCTTTTTCAAATCACAGCTGATGAAAACCTGGCATAGATTTAATATAGAAGTGATCTGAATAGTGGCAAATGATCAAATGAACTTTAAAATAAAGAAATAACAAAAACAAGAAATAAAGAAACTTCTTTGAAGAGAAATGGTGGATTTCCACCTGGTTCTAACTGATTACATGCATGAATTTTTATTGTTTGAAATAACCATTCAAAAGTATTTGGACAGACACAAAGGTAGTCAGATTGTATAATGAGAAATGTCACAGGTATGTACTATCTATACTAAAAATGGTATATTTCTAGTATACTAGGCTAGTATACTAGAATGCTAGAATTTCTAGTCTACTAGTAGACTGGAAATAATGATATGATTGATATTTGAGATTACTCTCTTACAGTAAACTGAAATTACTCTGTTACACAGAATTCAGAGAGGACCAGGGAGGGGAAGGATGGAAAAATTGGAAGCACATTGCTATGACAAGGTTGTAAAGTAGTTTTGGCTGATTTCTTAGAAACTCTGGCTTTCATGGCTCTCCACTAACTTCTTTACTTTATACACAATGTTCACCATGTCAATATTTATGCTGTGGTTCTACCAGTGCAGATTTGAGGCAAAGTGTCTTGGTATAATAAGTTTACTTAGTGAATTAGACCACTCCTACAATTACTCTCCCCTCTTGGCTGTTATAAAGGAGTGGTGAGGACAGAGTTCTTTAAATACTGGTAGAAACAACTTAAGAAACAAACTCACATCTGTAGAGCCAGAGTGATATGTTTATACTCCTCTTTTTGTCCTCTCTTACCCAGAATGGTTGCATTCATGTTCTGTTCCAAAATGAGTGATGATAATTCCTACTGCTAGGGGAATGCTAGCATTTCATCTTTGGGATTAAAACATGTCTCTCTTCCCTTTTATTCCTGCATTTACATTGTAGCATCTCACTTGTTTGTGGTGGTGGGGTTTTTGTTGGGTTTTTTGGTTTTTTTGGTTTTGGGGGTTTTTTTGTGGTGTCTGTCAATTTCAGTGGGGGATCAGCCATTCACAAGGCAGCAAATATACCCAAAGCTCCTTTGCTTAACTCTTGCATTGCTGTCATTCAGTCACCTTTCAGGGGAAGTGGCACAGAGCAATCAGCAAGTGTCACCCACTTGTACTTGCCCTCTTCAGTACTCTGCATTTGAGAGCTTGCTCTACGTAAACCTCCACTTCTCGCTTTACTGAAGGTGAACTATTCTGTATCAGCACTTCCAAGCTTGGAAAAACAGGTTCAACATTTGTAGCTTGAGATGTAACATTTTCCAGTAAACATTTCGACATATGAACATTTGTACACCCACCCAACCTATGACATTGCAACAATTTGATATCTGCTCTGAATAAAATCCATACGAAGTCAGAAGAAAGACCTGACACTGTTCTTTAAAGATGAGGAAAATGGACTACAATAATTATTGGTGACTTTTCTTTTTTCATGTATCTTATTTCAATGATATGCATGGGAGGGAAGGAGTGGGGAAAGAAGATATTCCAGGTACATCATAGTACCTAAGAAATTGCCTGACTGGCTAGGTTTCCTCAACCAGTTCCCTGTGTTAAAAGGGAAGTTCATTGTATAGATTCAAATTTGCAGAAAAAAACCTCCAAATGCAGAAATGTGATCATAAAGTTTGTAGGATGCCTGTGCAGACAATGGCTGCACTATTGGTTACAATTGAAAATCTTTACTTGCAGTGTGGATAAATACAGCCTCCAAGCAGAATCGTGCTATGGGGGATCATGTCATAAACCATAACCAAGTTATATTGATAATGGTGATCTCACACAGCTGTGCTATCAATTAAAACTGTGTAGGATTTAGGGTACTGCAACCAGGCACTCTTAAAAAAACTTAGAAATTGCACTTTACTAAAGTTGGTGGTTTCGTGGAATTTGGGAAGTTTTGAAAGTACAGTAGCATAAAAAATTTAAGTGCAAACCCTACGGTAGATATGATCCCAGTTGCTTTCAATATTTTATTACCACGTTAGCAGAAAAAAATTCCAGGGATGCAATACCGAACATGTGATGCATTCACAAATAAACAAATACCTTACATTTCAATTCCCCACATTACCTGAAGCTCCTGAATAGTTACCAGAGAAGCAGCTTGGAAATCAGGCACCTGGCAGCAGAAGGTAGATCAATTTGCTGGTGATTCAAAGAGATTCTGGGAAAGAGGTAGTTAAAAAGATCATCTCAGTCTCACAGCTAAAAACGTCCATATCACTGCACTATGTAATCCCTGTTTTCTTTCTCTCATATGTTGAAATTTATAATGGAGACAAAGTCCTGGTGACTCAATAAGACTTTAAGTGCATAAAATTAAAGATATTAATCCTAGAAACACTCTTAGTTTATTAACATTATCCTAGAACTGAGGCTACTTACACACATACAGCTATATGTAAATTAGCTATGTATTTGTAGTTTCAGGAATCCAAGTGAGAAACTTGTGGATTGTTACCCTGGTAGATGGGAAAATATTGGATGGATGGCACTAATAATGCTACTGCCTTGGGGCAGAAAATGAAACATTTTTCTGTCACAGTTATGAGATACGTCTCAAAACTTTATCAAACGAATGAAAGCCACGAGCATTGTATATTATGGCAAAACTATGGCAAAGCCACAGACAGTGGAATGGAGTGGGTGTAGAATTAAACTACAGCGGGCAAAGGATTTGCAAAGTGAAAAAAGTTGTCTTCTTTCCCAGTGGGTAGAAAGTAGTGTAAAACTGTAGGCAGTTAAGTAGTACAGTGGCTTACAGCTGAAATCAATCTCTCTTAAGCTTAAAATAATCTCACATTTGCATCTTTCACCAGTAATCGTAAAGTCTGCCTTCATTTAAAGACCCATTAAGTAGAAAATAATGATGAACTTCTAAGAGCTCTCCTGCTATTAGAAGAATGTATATGAAAGATCATTATTTTTAAAGAAATACTGACAAAGTGCATTTCCAAAAGTAATCCAGTATTGTACTAAAATAATGTAATTTTGGGGTATTTCAGGTATGAACCTCTGACCATGGGGGACTGGAACCTGTTGGGCAGCATCCTTGAAGAAGTGCACATCCACTCCACCATAGTTGGCAAAATCTGGCTCACGATCCTGTTCATATTCCGGATGCTGGTGCTGGGAGTGGCTGCTGAAGATGTCTGGGACGACGAGCAGTCCGAGTTCATCTGCAACACGGAGCAACCTGGCTGCAGCAATATCTGTTACGACAAAGCCTTCCCCATCTCTTTGATCAGATACTGGGTACTGCAGATCATATTTGTCTCTTCTCCGTCGCTAGTTTACATGGGCCACGCGCTCTACAGATTAAGGGCTCTCGAGAAAGAGCGTCAGAAGAGGAGAGCCCGCCTGCGGGCTCAGCTGGAGGATCTGGAGCCCATGCCTGAGGAACACAGGAGAGTGGAGAGGGAACTGCGTAAGCTGGAGGAACAGAAGAAAGTGCATAAGGCGCCCCTGAGAGGGTCCCTGCTGCGCACCTACGTCCTACATATCCTGACCCGGTCGGTGGTCGAAGTGGGCTTTATGATAGGTCAGTATCTTTTATACGGGTTTCACATGTCCCCCCTGTACAAATGCACTCGGCCCCCTTGCCCTAACACGGTGGATTGTTTTGTGTCCCGACCCACAGAGAAGACCGTCTTTATGGTTTTCATGAACAGCATCGCCGCGGTCTCCCTCTTCCTCAACATCCTAGAAATCGCCCACCTGGGCCTCAAGAAGATCCAGAAGAGCCTCTACGGGCGGCCGCGGCGGCCGCCGGGCCCCGCCGAGGAGGACACCAGCCTCTACAACTCCAAGAAGAGCTCCGTGGTGCCGCCGGCCTGCCCGGCCGCCGCCGCCGCCC